CCAAGTGCTAGGATTATAGACATGTGCCACTATGCCTTGTTAAGGTGGTGCTGGGGATGGACCAGGGTTTTGTACGTGCTAGGCAAGCGCTCTACCAACTGAGCTACGCCTCCAGCCCACAGTCATTTCATTTCCTTCATCTTTCTCTGTGATATAATGAGAATAAGATATTGCAAGATTTCTTGTGATTTGGATGCTTTGATTTTGTCACAAGTTTATGCGGTGATGCTGATCAGGAAACTGCCATCCAGGTGCTGGGTGCTGAGGGTAATGGAGTGACTGTTTCTTCCTGTCTCACCTCCACCCCAGCTGTGTTTCCCTAAATGCTGGTAGAGGGTTTTTAAACTTTTTTTTTTAATTATTTTTATGTGTTTGTTTTGCCTGCATGCATCTAAGTGCACCTGTGCATGCAGCGCTGAAAGAGGCCAAAAGTGGGTGTTAAATTCCCTGGAAATGGAGTTAGTGATGATTGTTAGCTGCCATGTGGGTGCTGGAAACCAAACTTGGGTCCTTCTGCGAGAGCAGTCAGTGCTCCTAACCACTGAGCCAGCTTTCCAGCCCCTGTTAGTTTTTGAAATGGCGTACTATATGACTTTCAACTTAGTGTTGTATGCACAGAACTATAACTGTTTTTTTTTAATTAAAAAAATTTTACGTGTGTGTGTTTGCCTGCACATATGTATATGTACCACATGCATGCCTAATGTCCACAGAGGCAAAAAGAGGGTATCGGATCTCCTAGAACTGGTTATGGATGGTTGTGAGCCACATGGGGATGCTAGGAACTGAACCCAGGTCCTCTGGAAGAGCAGTCAGTGCTCTTGACCACTGAGCCATCAGTCCAGTAGCACAACTGTGTTTTTTTTTGGTCTTTTTTGAGACAGGGTCTCCTTGTAGCCCCAGCCGTCCTGGAACTCACTATGTAGACCAGGCTGGCCTTGAACTCACAAAGATCTGCCTGCCTCTGCTTCCCAAGTGCTGGGATTAAAGGCGTGCGCCACCAGGCCTGGCTACAGCTGTGTTTTTAAGGAAGAGAGAATGACAGAGGAGAACCATTCCCAAATACTCACTATAAAACTGCCATCGGGGTATGAATAAACACTTTTTTCACTGGGGAACAACTTGTTAGTATACTGGAAGATGGAAAGATAAACGTGGTAGTGTGAAAATAACCACAAGGGCTATATTTTTATGGCTCTGCAGTGTTGGCTAATTGAGGTGGTTAGGCTGGTGGTGTCTGCTCTGTTGTCCAAGCTCAGATTGGGCATTGATTCCAGCACAGTGACCTCTGTGTCTTGGGACTGCTTCCCTTGGATATCCAATGTGGAGATGCTGAAGTCGCCCAAGTAAAGTGACCTCATATTTGCATAGAACCTAGGCTTATACCCCCGAAACTTGAACTCCTCTCTGGATGACTTCTAATACCTAGTATATTGTAAGTGTAGCTAGGTTGTTATCCTGTTCTGTTCAGGGAGTAGTGACAAGAGAAAAAGTGTTACAAGTTTAGTGCAGATATCCTTTCCCCTAAAATATAAACGTTTGTGCGTGTGTGTGTGTGTGTGTGTGTGCATATAGAGGGCAACCTCAGTGTGAATCCTTGCCTTTCCCTTTGTTTAAGACAGAGTCTCTTTGTTGTTGGCTGCTCCATACACCAGGCTAGCTGGCCTGTGAGCTTCTGCCTCCTATCTCACTGTGGGAATTCTGGGATTACAGAGGCACATTCACACTCAACTCTACATGGGTTCTGGGGACTCTGAACTTGGGTCCTCATACATGCGTAGCAAGTACTTGATCCACTGAGCCGTGTCTCCAACCCCCTGAAATATTTTTGATCCAAGGTTGGTTAAATCTATGGATGTGGAACCCTTGGACATGGAAAGCCATGTGTATTTTATTTATTCCTTTCCCCCTAAATATGAGGAGGAAAATTACATGTCAGTGCCACCCATGGAATGAGCCTGTTTGGGACCAAGTCACATGAGTAAACCAGAGACCTGCTTGGTGATTTTGATGAGAGATTATAATAGCCATCCAGGCTGTCCTTAGGCCCTTGAGTGGATTCTGTTTCCCTAGGACAAGGTCAGCAAACTGTGGCTCTCGGGTCAAGCTTACTACCTGTTTTTATTGAAACAGCCATGTCCATTCACTCCCATATTGTCTAAGGTTGCTTTCATGAAATAGTGGCAAAGTTGAATGGTTGTGAGAAAAGCCTGACCAACAGAGCCAAGAATATTTACTGTCTGGCCTTTTACAGAAAATTATTACTGTTTCTGGGGAATGCTTCCAGAGAGCCAAACTGCAGGGCTGAGTGACCTCAGGGAGGACATGGCTGCTGATCACCCCAGGGTCACCACACACCTCACAGTGGGGCCATTAAAGGGCTCTGGGGATCCATGTGCTTTCTGCTCCTTGGTGCTCTCTTGCCCGACCTCTGTCCCACGTGCCTTGTGGGAGCCCCAGTTAGACCAGCAGGACTATGGAGGAGCCTTCCTGGTGGAGCCTCAGCAGGTCCTAGTGTTGAAGTAACCTCAGCAGCCCACTGACCTTATCAGTTATATGGCATGCTAACCCCTTTTCCCCAAACAACCAAACAAAACCACTCTGGGAGCATTTACTGTATGTAGTTAGCAATCTATGGACCTAGCAGTGCAGCTCGAGAAATTAAAATTGAAGCTGGGTGTGATCGTATGTGCTGTGATGTCAGTGCTTGGGATGATGCTAAGGTTGGAGGATAGAGAATTTGAGCCTAGCTTGGACTATATCATGAGACCCCCCCATACACACATAGAGTGTGTATGTGTGTGTGTGTGTGAGAGAGAGAGAGACAAAAACAGAGAGAGAGAGAGAGAGAGAGAGAGAGAGAGAGAGAGAGAGAGAAGGAAGAAGGAGGAGGAGGAAGAGAGGAAATTTGATCTGCATTGACTTTTAGACTGAGGATTGGGTTCTCTGGTATGAGATATCTGCAGTGATTGAGCAATCCAGTATCTTGGCCAGGATGCTGGACTTAGGGGCCAAGAAGGATGGGAGCCCATAGGGTTCATAAGGAGGTTTCTGCATCCAAGTGCAATCTGAGCAGCGTTTGTGACCCCAGGAGCACTTTAGAAATGCAGGGCCTCGACCTGGCCCATCCTACATCTTACAAGATCCTCATGTGAGCTAGCGCCTCAGGCACCCTGGGTTCTTACCCTCTGTTCCTCTCTCCTTCCTCTCCTCCTTTTGGGAGGGCCAGGCACAGAAGAATGGGGCTTCTTCAACCTAGAGGCAGACTATCCATAGGCTGTTAAGTATTTCATGAGGACAGAGATGAACAGGAGCCAGCCCTGCAGGCTCCATCCGTTCTTTACCTCTTATTACGCAGTCACAGGCCTGACTGTTATTTTAGAACAGCAGAATCAGAGTACAGGGAGAAGCTAATCCAGAGACCAGCACAGGGCCTCATTACTGCCTTTTGTGTTGTTTTCTTTTTTTTAAAAAAAATTTATGTGTATGTTTTGTCTGCCCGTGTGTCAGTGCACCCGTGTTGTGCAATGCCTGTAGAGGTCAGAAGAGGGCATCAGATCCCTTGGAACTGGATTTAAAGACAGTTGTTACCAGCCATGTGGGTGCTAGGAACTGAACCTGGGTCCTCTTCAAGAACAGCCAGTGCTCGTAACTGCTGAGCCATCTCTCCAGCCCCTGTGTTTTTTTCTTTATAAAGTTTTGACATTAGTAGGGTATGGTGGCACAGGCCTGTAGTTCTAGCTACTCTGGAAGCTGAGGCAGGGAAATTGCTTCCCAGGTGTTGGAGACCATTGTGGGTTAAGAAAAAAAAATCTAGGCATTCATTTTTAACAAAATAAAACAAATTTTGACATTAAAATATAGTATATGTTGTGTACTTCGTTAAGAATCGTTAAGAATAAAGTCTGGCTGGGTGTGGTGACACAGTCCTTTAATCCCAGTACTCAGGAAGGGAGGCAGAGGCAGGTGGATCTCTGTGAGTTCAAGGCCAGCCTGGTCTACATAGTGAGTTCCAGGCCAGCTGGGGCTATAAGGAGACCTTTTCTTAAAAAAAAAAAAAAAAAAAAAAAGGAATAAGGTCTCAAGATGCAGAACCATGAGATAGAAACAAACAGACCATGAATTCAGGACACACAGGTCTGTCCTCTGACCAAAGCTGACTGACCATACTCTCCGTGACATGGGGTGTGTTCTTGCTTCTTTGATTTTCCCTCTCTGTGAAGCCCCCTGGTGCATGGGACACATGTGCATGTTCTGTTATGTGTCAGAGACAGGAATTAAAGTTGATTATAGCTTATTCAACTGCCTCACCCTTAGATTTAAATTGCCCATTTGTGCTGTTACTATTGTTGATGTAAAAGCACAGTTATCACCTCAAAGGGAGTAATAGTTCATTCTGGAGCCAAATAGGTATGACGGTGGCCTGGGAACACAGATTCAGGTTTCTCCAAGTACCGTTCGAACCATTGTATAAGTGGTTACATGAGATTTTTATTATACAGAACAAAGAAAGCCATAAATCAAAGTACTTATCGCATATACTGGTTGGTGTCACAGATGGGCAGGTTACAGCAAAGTGGGGAAAACTGTACTATGGGTTTTAGAGCTGTTGACACTTTAGCTTTTGGATGAGTGAGAGCCAGTGGTCTGTTCAAGAACACATCTTAAGGTTTTGATAGTCACAAGGAGTTGTGATAGGAACTTGAAAAGTTGTTCTAAGCCCTTCCTGGATATTCTTTGGTCATAACTCGCTCTTGTAGAGAGGTTTGGGAGGTAAGGACAGGGCAGCCCGCTCTGTGTGTCTTTATCTCCAGTACATTTCTCTGAGCTAAGCAGGCCTGTCCTCTTGACCCAGGCCCTGAGATGTTATCTTAGGAGTTCTTAATACCTTTAAAATCATTTCCCTGAGCTAAGCAGGCTGGTCCTCTTGACCCAGGCCCTGAGATGTTATCTTAGGAGTTCTTATACCTTTAAAATCAGCTCTTCGGCTTCCTTTCCAGCCTTCTGCAGTGGACACTGAGGCACAGAATGATCTGGAAAGTAGCTGTGCTGCTCAGCCTGGTCCTGGGTGCCGGTGCTGTTCCTGTTGGTGTGGACGATCCTGAGGATGGTGGCAAGCATTGGGTGGTGATTGTTGCAGGTTCCAATGGCTGGTATAATTACAGGCACCAGGTAAGAAACCGGAGCTTCTTTTATGTCCACAACCCTGAAGCTCAGTAGAAAATGCTTTTGTTGTTTGTGCTTTTTAGTCTGTTTGTTTGTTTGTTTGTTTGTAGACAAGGTCTCCTGTGTAGGCTGGCCTGGAACTTACTGTGCAGCACAGGCTGTCCTTGAACTCCGGATCCTCCTGCTTCCACCTCCTAAACGCTGAGGTCACAGATGTACATCACCAAGCCCGACTCATTTGTCAGGACAGGGTCTTGCTACGTAGCTCCGTCTAATCTTAAACTTAGAATTCTCCTGCCTCAGTCTCAGCCGTGTGCTAAACATACTGTTTGAACAGCCATTCACATACTTGTTAGGCTGACAAAAATATGTGCGGAGACAAGGCATGGAGAAATTGGAGGACACTTTGCCATGGGCTTCTAAAACGGAGTGGCCGTTTGGGCAGACAGTTTTGCCTTAGTCTGATGAGGATTTCCACACTGTCTGTACTGATTGATGGCCTTGGGAACAGGTGTTCTTTCTTTGGGTCTGTCCTGTACCTGATGTGCCCTGCTTGTCACAACCCCAAATGCCTCTAGACATTGCTGCATGTCCTGGGGACATCGTCACTATGAGACCCACTAGGCTAACATCTTTATTTTATGGAAAGGATGCAGAAGCCTAGAGAAAGGAAGTGGTTTATTGAAGCCACACCACACGGCAAGTGGAGGAAGCCAGGGATGAGGCCCTGGGAAATATACTCCTGGCCCCTCTGCCTTCTGTGCTTTGGCTCCCGCCCCATCCAAGCCCATCACTGCTGGCCTTTTTTTTTTTTTTTTCAAATCAGGGAGAAAATAAACAGTTAACAGTACAGCCCAGAGATCTACCCTAAGGGATAGACCCAAAGAAATATCAGCCTTACTCATATTAGCCAATGTGTGGAAGCAATGGAGCATCTATTCACACCAGGGAATATTATATGGCCCCGAAAGGGAATGATCACATGTGCTTGAGTATGGACGAACCTTAAACATATGTTAAGTGAAAGAAGCCATTCACAAAGACCATTACAATTTCAATTAATTGGCACTCTAAATTAGAGAAATCTTCAAAGATATCAAGGGCTGGCAGAGGAGAGACTGGGGAGGAGTAGTGAGAATGTTCTAGAATTAGTCATTGCTGCATGGCATAGTGACTATTTTCTGACTTCTCTCATATGTGAATGATAAAGCTGCCATTAAAAAAAGCTTATGTAAACTTCACATTCTCAGAAGCAAGGTGTATAGTCTACAGCAGGATCCATGTTGTAGGCTGTCTCCTAAGAGCACCTTTAGTCCTCCCAGTGGGGCTGTGTGCAGTGGGGCCTGATTTTAATCCCTTTTTATTCACCAACAATTGGATGGAGGCCTGGGCAGTGCTGGCTGTTTGCCCAGTGTGGCATAGCTGGCCAGTGGCAGGGGGTGGGGTGGAGTGGGATTCAGACCCAGCCGATCAGTTCAATAGGAGCCATGTGAGTCATGGAAAATTTTCTAGTAGCCACTTTTTTAAAAGCTCAAACAAATACAGGAGGGACTAAGGAGACAGTTCAGTTGGTAAAGTGCTTTCCTTGCAAGCAGGAAGACCTGCTTTCAATCCCCAGAACACATTAAAAAAAAAAAAAAAAGCTAGGAATGGTAGCCTGTACTTGTTTAATCCCAGCTCTAGGGAGGCAGAGACAGGTGAATGCCTAGGGCTTGCTGACCAGCCAGCCTAGCCTACCTGGTGAGCCCCAGGCCAGTAAGAGACCCTGTGTCAAAAAAAAAAAAAAAAAAGTGGATGGCACCTGAGGCTCACCTGTGATTATCCTCTGGCCTCCACTTACACACACATCTTTTCATAATGTCCCACATCTCTTGCATATTCCATTCCTGTATTTTTTTTAATTTTCCATAGTCTTTGCTTGAGTGGTCCAATTCTTCAACTTTATCCTCCAGTGTTGATAGTCTTGTGTTCCATTTCATTCATTCTAGCGGTGAGGCTTTCCCCCGTTTCAAGTTGGCTTATTGAGTTTTGCACTTCTTTCTTCATTTCTGCCTGAGTTTTCTTCAGTGTTTCTATCTCTTTTGTAAATTCATTCAGAAATTTATCCT